ATCTCTCATCCAGACCAATATAACGAACCTTTTTAGGAAAGACAATTTCCACAGGGGCACTTATTTGATGAATGTTTACAGGGGAAGTTTGTATTTGCAGATGAGCAAATGGTGGTGGTTAATAGAACTCTTGGAAATTTAATTAGACGTCCAAGTGCATAACATCAAAAACAGTGGGACCTCTTGTTAGCATAAGCTAAATTTGCACTCTACCACATGTATAATTTACCAATGGGGAAGCCACCATTTGAAATTGATTGTATTAGCATTCCTAGGTAAAATTTGGATTTAGATTTAGTGGAATGAGAAACCAAGCTTTCATTAAGCAAAATAAAAGGAGATGTAATAGCATACAGAAAACCAGTTCCACTAAAGGAGTCCATATGCTAGCTAAGTAGACATGGAGTCCAAACTAAAAGAATAAGACCTAAGACCTAGCTGATAATTATAAAAATAAAAATTCGAGAAGTTGACTCCCACAAAAAGGTGTTAAATCTAACAATATTCAGAACCTCTCCGAGGACTTCTCGACCCCTCTAAAAATCCTACTATTCCTCCTGAGCCAAATACTACACAAAGCAACCAAAAAAAGGAAGGAAAAAGAAAAAGACTGCTTACCTTTGGTTATTGTTTGTAAATAGTTCTTTTTATGTGGCAATAGAGCTGTTGCCTTCAAAGAAAAGACTTCTTCCCTTTTGATCTTAATTAACTTTTCTCTCTGTTTTTTTGGTTAATCTTTTTCCTTCTTTTTTTTTTTGACCTTTTTTTTGGGTGGTGTGGGGGGATGGGTGTTGGAGAAGGGAGGGATTGTACATAGGGTAGTGGGGAAAATACTTGTTCTTGGGTTTTATTCAAATGTACTTTTTTGGCTGTCAAATTATTTTCTTTTTGATCTCGTGCATGCTCCATCTCTCTGTCTGTCCCTTCTTGGTTTGAGCTATTTTCATTCAATAGGAGAAAAGAACTATCTTCTTATCTATTTCTAAGTTCTGTTACGAGATAGGTAACTGCAAGGTTATGCAAATGCCATTATAGTTGTGATATTATGGTTTTATTTCTATTGAATCTATTCTATTACTTAACATGCCATTGATTAACAGGTGGTAAATGCCAATGTATCCTTAAAGCGTATGGAGGAGCTACTTCTAGCTGAAGAAAAAATTTTGCTTCCAAATCCACCTTTAGATCCAAAACTTCCAGCCATCTCAATCAAGAATGGATACTTTTCTTGGGATTCACAGGTGCCTGTTTTCTCTTGAGTAAAATTTTTTCCCTGTATTTTGTGCACGTATTTGGGTAGGCATACAAAAATAGATGGTTATTTTTACACGTGATTATTATCTCAGCATGTACAACATATGCATCATTGTTATAGTTGAGCTTGCGATTTGTTTATGTCGCAATAGAAGAATAGTTACAAAATGTGCATTTGAAGTGCTCTTTAAGAAGCCTTCCAAGAATAAGAAATTTGCTTTACAGTCTAAAAGAAATTCTTCTATTCCTTTTTCCACCATCTTTAAAGAATTGCTAAGCTCAGCACTTTTTTTCCTCCCTTTTAAGAGCCACGTTGGAAAGGATTTGCCTAGAGAATACTTTGAATTCCTTGGGTTATACCAACTGAATCGAAATTTACCTAGGATTTCCTCCTGAGCTCTTTTAGTAAACTTGCATTCCAAAAAGAGAGGACCCACATTCTGGCTTCCTTTCTGCATAGGAAGCACCAAAGTCTTCTTTAACTCACTAATTCCTTTTTTGGGCGTTGTGTGTTTGGTACGTGGTATTACATGACATTGTAAACACAGACAAAATAATCAACATAAAAGTTAATTGCTTAATGTAACTCTTTAATTTTAATTGAATCATTTTAACTTAGAATTAATTAATTTTAGATTTTTTTTATTAAATAAAAAGGAAGAAAAATGTTCAAGGATACAAGCTCCCAAAGGAAGTGAAAAAATTAAATTAGTTTTAGATTTATTATAAAGTAATTTATAAATTAATTCCTTACCATTAAATTTTTCTTGGATAAGAAACAAAAATATATTACGAACAAAAAGAAGGGGAACAACAGCCTAGCGGCAAGGGCCGAGGAAGCCCTCCCAAAGAGCTACTACATTACAGTTTGCCAATCTTGTTGGAATAAGACTATACTGTAATTACAAAAGGACACCAAGGATTCAAACACCAACATTATTCTCTAGGAATATATCTTTGAGTTCCTGAGTTCCTCATTAATTCCTGCTTCACCAACCTCAATTGAAGTATGCGAATCTTGGGTAACTTCCTCTTCTAAGGAATTGTATAAAAGTGTGGTTCGAGACTTTTCAACTTCAAACCCGACTCTTCATCTTCATCACCATTTTGATGCGATTGACATCCAAGGTATTGGAGAAATCCCTGGATTGAGAATGTCGTTTTCTTGCTTAGAAGTTTCCAAATTGCAACAATCTTTTACTCTTACAAAAACACTTTCCAAACGAGGGTCTTTTATTTCAATCTCAGCAGGGAGAAAACCACATAAATTCTTCTTCACTTCTATACAGATCGATGCACAATTCAGCATATTCAAAGTTTGAGAAGAACAACCAACCAAGCCACCAAAATGACTTCCAAGAGCTTCTTAGCAACTATGATTCCAGTAACTCAAAGGTAAGTTCAAAATATCAATCCAACCACCATAGCCCATCACAAACTCAGCTTTGCTATGCTTAAGATCTGACCACTTCTCAAATTTCACATGAAAGATACCAATTTTCTTCCACTTTCCTTTTAACTCCCAGATTTTTTAGGACCCTCCCATCCTCCATTTTTAATAGGGCTTAATATGGCCTTATCGGCCATAAAAGGATTAACAAGACAATCAACTTCAAAGTGGTTTTTTAAAGCAGTAGCTATCTCCTTCCGATTGTCATGAGCTTTAAGTCTAGAGATAACCATCAAATAATTCCAGTCCATTTCGACCACATCCCTTTCTTTTTTAACCCAAAAGCTCTTACTCAACATCTTTTCGGATTGAGGGAGCAAATACACCTACCAACTCAGGCAACTTTTGAGAACTCTCCAAGGCTATAGAAAACTGAAAATCAGACTTGCTTAGGAAATCAGCCTTATTTAGTGAAAGAGAGATAGAATCCTCAATCATTTCCCAGAGGACTAGCCCACCCTCTTTTCTTTTGTCCAACAGGGATCGCTTTTCTTCCTCTCATGCCTGATTTAGGGATCAAAATGCAATCAAAGCTACAACCTTGCTTGTAAAAACTCTTCGTAAGCCTGCAAATTCGGAACTCTCCTTTAGTTTGTTAACACTCCTCCTTACTTGTGGGCTTGGATAATTGACAAGGCCCAACAAGTGGAATCAATATAAATGGGGAGGAAACAAGAATGCAGGATTCGAATACAGGACCTCCCGCTCTGCTACCATGTTAAGGACGAATAAACCACCACTCGACCTAAAAGCTTAAGTTGATGGGTTGGATAAATTTAATTCATATATATATAAATTCTCAATGGTTATAACTGGGATGCATTTAGTTTCTGCAACTTATTTTTATTTTCTATCAATTATTTCACTCCTTTCCAAGTTTGTTTTCTTGAACATTTTTCTTTTAGTATTTTTTCATTATATCAGTGAAGACTACATTTTTTGTTCAAAAAGAATTATACAGCAGATCTAAACTACTTCCACATTGAAAGATTTTGATGACAATCTATATCAATTGATCAAATAGTTTAGTACGTTGATATAAGTTTGGACTTTTTGTTTCAAGATGTATTTTCTTTAGATATTGTTTGCCTACATAGAAGTGTAATTATCTGTGGTGCCCACCAACAATCAGAGCGCTCTGTTATTTTTTTGAACAAGAAACAACTTTTTATTGGTATATGAAAAAGAAAAATGTTCAAGATACAAAACCCCCAAGGGGTGAAAAAAGAAAAGGAAAGAGAGAAAAATAGAAAAATAATGAATAAATATCGCAACCAGAGCCCTCAGTTATTAAAATGCTTTTAAATGGTTCTATTTGTCATCGTGGTCGTTTATTATATTTTAACCAGGCTGAGAAGCCCACATTGTCAAACATCAATTTGGACGTACCAGTTGGTAGCTTAGTTGCAGTTGTTGGAAGTACAGGAGAGGGCAAGACATCACTAATATCAGCCATGCTTGGAGAGCTTCCACCCATTGCAGATGCTAATGTTATTATTCGAGGAACTGTTGCTTATGTTCCACAAGTTGCATGGATTTTTAATGCAACGGTGAGTTGGAATAACTTGCAACAGAATAATGATAAGATACATGTTCTTTTTTTTATTATTTATTATATCATATGTGCTTCAAAATAGTGGTGCATTTCATATTATTTATCTCGGTGGTTAACGCTTATACTAAACGTTTGTTTGATATGTGGTATAAGGTGTCTTTCTATCTTCTTTCCGGAATCTGTTGACCAACTAATTCAATGATTTTTTTTTCCTTTCTGTTTTTAGTTTTATGAGATTGAGTTACTTAGTTTTAAAATATAACTATTTTTTTTATGTTCTTGTTAAAAAAAAAACAAAAAAAAATAATTTTTTAATATTTATTGTTATTACATCAAACTGTAAATATTTTCATCAGTCAAGTTCCTATCTTATATATAGAAGGATACAACTTGACTAATTTAGACTGACGAAACTTTACCTTTGCTATTAACTTGTTAGATTTATAGACCTCAACTTTTATTTACAGGTGCGTGATAATATTTTATTTGGTTCTGCCTTTGATTCTGCCAAATACGAGAAGGCAATAAATATAACTGCATTACAGCATGACCTTGACTTATTGCCGGTAAGTACTTTAGTATAGTTCTATATTATCACCGAACCTTTATTCATAATAAATCTAGCAGCGAGCTTCCCTCTTTTTGTTTGTTGTTAGGGCGGTGATCTTACTGAGATTGGGGAAAGAGGAGTGAATATCAGTGGTGGTCAAAAGCAAAGAGTTTCCTTGGCCAGGGCAGTGTACTCCAATTCAGATGTGTACATTTTTGATGATCCCTTGAGTGCTCTTGATGCTCATGTGGCTAGAGAGGTAGAGGCTCAACTTGGATATTATTCTCCTTAATTATGATTCTGTGCCAAGTATTTGTTTACAGGAAATGGGATGATTACACTATACGTTGTAAATTTTTATAGCGTTTTTATGACTTGAAAGTTTTTATGATTTATTACCTATATAATATATTGTAAGTTGACATCTATTTTTTTTCTCAGAAAACTTTCAATGTTATTTTTGTTTCCTTCGGCTTTTGACTCGACGCATATTTGGTTGGAAAGAAATCAACATGTTTTTGTTAAAAACAACTTTTCCTTTTGATATGTTTTTTTTTGTAGAAGTGTACAACACACTGCGTACCAGTGGTGCATCAATTGTAGAAAATTCTTTTGTAATTACAACCTTTCCATGTTCTTTTTAAACAAGAAACAACTTTTCATTGATATATGAAAAGGAGAAAAGGTTCCAGAAACAACCTTTCCATGTTCTTGAACAATTGGAAAGTCTTCGCTTAGTCTTTCGGTGGGGTTCTCTCTACCCAATGCTTAGATGGTCTCTCTCTTTTTTGGTTGGTATATACAAGTTTCTTATCGAAATATATATATACACATATATATATTCTATTTCATCAATGTTTGTTTTACTAGAAGCAATAATTCTATTAAGAAAGATATAATTTTGCTCCAATTTTAAGGTAGATGTTACAATTTCTGAGGATACGCTCTCACAACTTGATTATTTGAATCTATTGGCAAATTCATCCCCACCTCAGATGTCATTGATATTTTGCTATAGGGTCGTCCAGTAACTTGTTACCATATTATTGTTAGTTGCTTATTATTGTTAATTTCTGTTACCTTGTTACTATCAGTTGTGTTACCATAGTAATCATTGTTAATAGCAGCAGCCTTGGTATACTTTGCTTTTGTGTTTTCCCCATTTAAAGTGGTGTTAGACTCGGTTCCGTAAGTTATTGTCTGTACTCAGGATTCTTTTTCACTATCATTTACTTTCAATAGAGAGACAGTTTGAGTGTAATTTCTTGTTTCCATTTGCTCATGCTAATCTTATGCGGTCATCCAACCATTGACAGGTTTTTGAAAAATGCATTAGAGGAGAATTAAGAGGGAAAACTAGAGTTCTTGTGACCAACCAACTGCATTTTCTCTCACAAGTTGACAGAATCATCCTTGTTCATGAAGGTGTGGTGAGGGAGGAAGGAACATATGAAGAGCTTTATGAAAATGGAGAGTTGTTCCAGAGGCTAATGGAAAGTGCCGGTAAATTGGAAGAAACTACTGAGGAAATGGAAGATGTTGAAACCAGTGATACGAAGAAATCATTAGAAATTTCTGCTAATGGGACGGCAAATGATATTGCGAAGGATGCTAGTCCTTCAAAAAAACGTAAAGAGAACAAATCTGTTCTTATCAAGCAGGAAGAAAGAGAAACTGGTGTAGTCAGTTTGAATGTTTTAGTGAGGTAAGGATTCTTGACCATGAATTCCTTTATCCAGTTTTGTGATTTAAAAATTTTTTTTTTTTAATTCTTTTTACTATTTATAAATCTTGGCAGGAATGAGTGTGCACCTTTTGAAAATAATAATGACAAAGAAAAAGAAAACCTTTTGTTAAAACATTCGAATGATTCGTCACTACTTTATAGAGGTACTATTAGCTGACAAAGATAATTTACTGGTGGATATGCCTCTTCTATACACCAGGCTAGCTTATAATGCAGCTCAAATTGATTGAAGGATAAGTGATAGCAAGAACTGAAAAAAATTCCACTACGCCAAACATCTTCCCAAAATTCAGTAAGTTCTCATTACTGACGTGAGGGCTAGATAGATTAGAAATACCATACTCATCTTGGGAGATAAATTTCCAAGATATTTTCTAAAAAAATCTCCAGCCTTTTGGATAGAATCCTATTCATAATAATGTTACCCATTTCTAATTTCAAGCATAAATGCCACGGTAATTCCCTCCCATGGAATTCTCCATAATCATATGCCAGTAAAGCAATGTTCCTTTTAATCAAGTCGCTAACTCTTTAAGCTTATTTACGAATGGTTTTGGGAACCAATTTCAATTTTCAACTAATAAAATGCTTGTTACTCGCTTTATCCCATTATTTAAGAAATATTTTATCATATTGTCAAACGTTTTCCATCTTTTAGGAATTCTGAGTGATCAACATTTTGTCATTTTTTGGACGTAAAATCTTTACTCCATTCTCTCAGCCTTTTATTCATTTTTCCAACTTTTGTATCTCAAAAGTTAAAGTGCTGATTTTTCCATTCCACCATCAAAGTGGCTGTCAACCTTTCCATTTTACGTCTGGCAACTTGTTCCTAGCCTACCATAGCAATTTGGCTTAATAACCAAACATTCATTGAAATGTATCCATAACTTCTTAATACTCAAGGAGTGTCCTCATCTCCTGAAACATAAAAGGAGATTCTATCATCAACCAATTGAAGTTGATATAAAGGTGTTCTTTTTTTTTTTTTGAACAAGATACGAACTTCTCATTGAAATAATGAAAATGAACAAAATTGTTCAAGATATAAACTCTCTTGAGAGTGAAAAGCAAATAAAATTACAAATAAAACTAAAAACTCATAAATTTGTAATAAAAGCACCCCAATTCAAGTTAATCAAAGTAGGGCAATAAGGATTAAATAGAGAAGATAAAGAACTCCAATGGGAGGCCTTGAACTTAGCTAGATCAAAACCTGCTGGCGGAGGCTGCTTCTTTTCTTCAAAAATCCTCAAGTTTCTTTCATACCACAGATCATACACTAGTGCCTTAACTCCATTCAACCAGAGAATAGAAGCTTTAGGATTCAGAATAGGCCCTGATAGAAACTGAATCATATTATCTGCCATCTTTTGGTCAAAAACCCAATCCATTATGAATTCTTTTAGCAAAAAAGACCAACACTGTCTTGCATAAGGGCATAAGAAAAAAAGATGTTCCATACTCTCTTCATTGGACATACAGAATACACAAACCGAGGGAGAAAGACTGCAATCTGGAAGCTTCTTTTGTAAAACCTCAGCTGTATTGACATTCCCATAAATAAGAATCCAAGAAAAGAAGCTTGCTTTCTTTGGAAATTTAGTCTTCCAAAGATCCTTGAATAAGACTTTTGGCACAGAGGCAGCAGCGGATTTTTTACGGATTGATTCAATTGTGAATGAACCCGAACTATCCAAAGACCAAATCCTTCTGTCAGAAGCATTACAAGGAGATTGATGGTGCAGCAGAGACAGTAGCGAAGAAAATTCCTCCATCTCATCATCTTTTAGTAACCTTCTTGTGAGAATTTTCCATGATAATGTATGAGAATCCCAAAAATCTGCCACAGTCCCTAGAGGTAGGATGGAAAGCCTGAAAATCTTTGGGAAACAATCCTGAAGAAGCTGATCTCCAGCCCATTTGTGCAGCCAAAACAGAATAGATGTACCTGAACCAAGTTTAAAAACTAGATGTACCTGAACCAAGTTTAAAAACTGAAAATTGGTTCCAATGCTGCCATTGCCGAGAGATGTTGATCCAAGGTCTTCTAAGACAGCCATTCAACATAATACCCGAGGACCAAACCAAATCTGACTCCCCATATAAGCTTGCTATCACTTTGCGCCATAATGCATTAGACTCTCCACCAAACCGCCATCCCCATTTAGCCAACAGAGCATTGTTTTTCTTAGAGAGACCGCCAACTCCCAGACCGCCCTCTTCCATAAGCTGAGAGGTAAAGTTCCAATTCACCAAATGATTTAAAGATCCCCACAAGCCACTATTCCATAGAAAAGATCTCATCTTCTTTTCAATTTGTTTGCAAACCCCGGGAGGGATTTTAAACAATGAAAATTAATAAAGAGGAAGGTTAGATAAAACCGATTTACAAATAGTTTGACGGCCACCTCTAGATAACTGAAACCTTCTCCATCTATCAAACATCTTATCAATTTTCTCCAATATAGGACTCCAGAATGCTACTGATCTCGGGTTCCCTCCCAAAGGGAGCCCTAAATACTAAAAAGGAAGAGAATCCATCTGACAATTTAAAGATTCTACTACCTGAAGAACTTCTCCAGAAGAGATGTTAATGCCACAAATTGCCGATTTTGCCCAATTAATTGAAAATTCGGACATACGCTCATAAGCTTTGATAGCCATAATAAGATTATTCAACATACCATCATTATTCTTACAAAAAATATGAATATCGTCAACAAATTATAGATGGGAGATATGGATCTTATCCTTTCCAATCAAGAATCCTTCGTAGAAACCTCCTGATTGATACTTTCCAAGATGCTGCTAAAAACATCCCTGACAAGGGGAAAGAGAAAAGGCGAGAGAGGATCACCTTGTCTCAATCCTCTTGACGCCGAAATACGACCCTTAGGTCTACCATTGATGAAGATAGAAAACTTGGTTCCTTTAATACCATTAATCCATTTCCTCCATTTCTTCCCAAACTGTTTTTGAACAAGCACATCTTCAAGAAAGGCCCAATCAACCTTATCTAAAGCCATTTCAAGATCGAGCTTAAGTAACCACCCACTCTTTTTTGAGCCCCGGAGCTTTATTTTTGCCAATATCATTCAAAGCGGATTTTATTTATGATTCCTCAAAACAGCGCTGAAGCCACATTCGATCTGAAGAGGAAATGGGGCACCAGTTGATCCCTCTTGGAGAGAATCTAGGACCAAAATCTGCCTGATAAAGCTTTTCAAAAAAAGCAAAAATTTCTTCTTCAATATCCTTCTAATTAATCAAAGCATCTCCATTCACATTGAATAATTCAGAGATGACAGACTTTCTCTTTCGGGCTGCAAGATACTTATGAAAAAAAGAGGAATTTTCATCCCCTCCTTCAACCATTGAATCTTACTTTTTTGGAACAGATTTCTTTCATTTTCCATGTACAGATTAAGCAAAAAGGTGTTCCTGTGCCCTTCTTTAATTTCCTTTATTCGTCCCTGCCTTTTGCTCCTTGAATCAGTAAACTGATAACATTTGCTACAAATAAGAATGAGAAAGGTAAGGGGTTCTACTTTTTTTAGGCCGTGAACAGCTTTTATAGCACCTCTCAACTAATTAAAATTTAAAGCAGCCAGACAATGGTTGATCCGTCTGCTCTACTTACTACCTAAATCTTTCTTACAGAACATAGTCTGGAGTCCCAGACAGCATGATGATAAGCTCCATTGAGATTTACTTTACAAAGCAACCCTTTTTTCCTTCTGATCTATTATCTAACTGCCACATTTGTTGCAAATTAACTTCTTGAATCTTTACCATGTAAAGAAGCTTCTATAAACTTTGATTCTATGACTTCAAACACTATTCTTTTTTTGTTTTTGTTTTTTTTTGTTTTTTTGTTTTTTTTTGAACAAGAAACAACTTTTCATTGATATATGAAATGGAGAAACTATTCTAATTCTTTCAACTAACTTTTAGCATTAATTTCGCAAAGACCAGTTACATAATTTGTAGAAATTTGTTCATCTTGGGATGTTTTTATCTTTCACTAGCTTCTTTAATTTTTATTTTATTTTTGTCATTTTTCACTCATTCGGGAATTTGTATCCTTTAACTGTTTTGTTCCTTTTCATCAAAAAGTTTGTATCTTGTTAAAAAAAATATCGTAGAAACTTTTGATCCGTGCCCTCAGGCGCATGTTTGAGAACTCGTTGGAAACTTTTTGATCTGTGCAAAATGTTGTAGATGCTCAAGACTCAGATTAGCCCAAGGGTGATCCTTGGTACTCTAGTCTATAACGCAGTAGAATGTAGGACTAGATATCAGGACTAGAGAGCAAGGGATATATGGTAATTGGAAAGGTGGTTTGCCGAGACTATTTCTCATAAAAAAGGAATGAAACGTTAGTAAGCATGCAATATTGTGGTCGTTTAGTCTTAGGTCCGCTCAAGAGAGTAGGCAAATTACATGGGAGTATCCCACTGTACTTTCTTATCTTTAATCTTCCAATATAGTTTCCAAGTCTTATTATTGGGCTCCTATCAGTTTGGTATTAAAGCATTCATTATTGGGAATAAATATTGATTTTAAGAGAAAATTGTCTTTGGAGATAGAGGATATAAAGTGAGAATGTGTCATGGCGGATGATGAAGACAGTGGTGGTAGGAGTGAAGATGAAAAACAGGAAGCAATCAAATCAACTTTTGAATATAATAAAAAGGAGCCAAAACAACTAGAGGCAGTTAAAATTTACCAAAAATAACATTGGAAAGATGAGAAGCATGTATATTTATGTTGGGAACATTGTACGACTCTTCTAAGATTGATGGAATCATTAAAGAAGCGAGTAGAGTAGAAATAAGTGAATTGAAATGGACTGATGATGAAACTAAATCAGAATGCAAGATGAGTCGAATAAAGTGAGCCATTTTTTGCTCCATTGTTTATTTTTTCCCTTTTGGTGGTCCCTTTTCCTTAAACGTGATTGAATTACCAATGAACTAAAAAGCTTAAGCTGATGGCTAGAATAAATTTAATCATTTATAAGTAGTTAGTTAGTCAAGATTAGTTGTTATCTGGTTAGTTGTTTTAACTAGGCCCAAGTCCAACGACTTATTAAGTTGAACTACAACCTGCAGCCTTCTTCTATTTAAAGGGCTTTGTACTTCATTTTGGGTTGATCATTAATAAGGAAATTTCTCTTTTTTGAGGCTACATCACCCATCACCCTTCATTTGTGGGCTTGAAAATTTGCAAAAGACCCAACAAGTGGAAATCAATCTTAAATGGTGAGGAAATGACAATACAGGGGTTTATACACAAGAGCTCTTGCTTTAAGATTAAACATGATTAAATCGCCAATGAACCCAAAAGCTTAAGCTGACGGGTTAGGGTAAATTTAATCATTTATAAGATATCTAACACTTTTCACGTGTCGATTCTGCCATGGTGACAAGGATTTTTCATACCTAATTTGGCATGGTCATCAGTTCAATATGAAGCTAGGAATTTTCTGTCCTCAGACCACCAAGGCTTTATCATGGGGATGGTATTTGACAGAATTGGCAATTTTGATCTCAAGAGTTAGTTTGTTTTCTTGTGTCCTTGTATAGTTTTCTATGGAAGACCTTTTGTAATTCATATTTTCTGTTTCAAATTATGTATTTTTTTTTAATTTTTTTTTCGCTAAATTAATTGTTGTGGTTAAAGCTTTTGTTTCAGAAATTAAGTATTTTTTAAGATAAGAGGAGGGTTTGGGCTGAATGTTTTGATTTAACTAAATTCAAGGCTTTCCAGTGGTGTTTGCTCTCAAATTTATTCGTTGATTATTCTGGAGATGTTATTTATTATTCATGGGAGGCTTTTATCTTTTCTTAGTTGCTTCTTGTTTTACTTCTCTTTATTTTTCACTCCCCTGGCAGTTTGTACTTTTTATCATTTTTTTCTCTATTCATCTATCACTGAAAAGTTTGTCTCTTGTTTAAACAATTGTTGCTAATGATGTTCTTAACCCTCCAGATTTTGTCATATCCAATGTTTTTTTTTTGTTCCTTCCAGATACAAGAATGCCTTAGGAGGCCTATGGGTGGTTATTATACTCCTTCTATGCTTTGTTCTATCAGAGACTCTTCGAATTTTTAGTAGCATGTGGTTGAGCAATTGGACCGACCACAGCGATATGAAATCAAGTGAAACTTTCTTCTATAACATAATATATGCAGGCCTATCATTGGGGCAGGTATGAGTACAATCAGCTAATAATTTGTGGCTGTGCATACAGTTAATCTTTGTCTTTTTCTAATTGATGAGTTTTTCCTCCTATTTTTATTCAATATTTATACACTGATAAACTACTATTGCTAACACCAAGAGGTCAGGCTCTAGATTGAAAGTTTGTTCTCTTTGTATCTTAACAACTTTCGATGTCAGGTATTGGTGACACTGGTAAATTCTTATTGGTTGATCATGTCAAGCCTGTATGCAGCCAAAAAGTTGCACGACCAAATGCTTTCTTCTATTTTAAGAGCTCCAATGGTGTTCTTCAACACCAACCCTCTTGGGAGGATCATCAATCGGTTTGCAAAGGATCTTGGTGACATTGATAGGAATGTTGCCCCCTTTGTCAACATGTTTCTGGGGCAAATTTCGCAGCTCCTTTCTACTTTCCTCTTGATAGGGATTGTGAGCACTCTGTCTTTGTGGGCAATCCTTCCACTCCTGTTATTGTTTTATGCTGCCTATCTATACTACCAGGTAATTGGAACTGCATCTTTTATTTCTACTTCTGGAGAAGTAGTAGTTTGAATCATTGTTTAACTATTCAATCATGCATCCAACTTATCTGTTTTTTATTTTTGGTTGAACTTTGATCTACTTTTGCTTTTGAGTTTCACAGTCAATCGTTTCAGCTTAATAGTGGGTATATATTCTAGGGTTAACTTTATTTCTTTTTTGCTTCTATAGAGCACGGCCAGAGAAGTAAAGCGGCTAGACTCCATAAGTAGATCTCCTGTTTATGCACAATTTGGTGAAGCTTTGAATGGTCTGCCAACTATTCGTGCGTATAAAGCTTATGATAGAATGGCCAAGATTAATGGAAATTCCATGGACAATAATATTAGATTTACCCTTGTTAACATGAGTGGAAACCGATGGCTTGCAATTCGTTTAGAAACTGTTGGTGGTCTTATGATATGGTTTACAGCAACCTTTGCTGTGATGCAGAATGGCAGGGCCGAAAACCAACAAGCTTTTGCATCCACCATGGGTCTTCTTCTTAGTTATGCTTTAAATATTACTTCTTTGCTTACAGCGGTACTAAGGCTCGCAAGTTTGGCTGAGAACAGTTTAAATTCTGTAGAGCGTGTTGGGACCTACATTGATTTACCTTCAGAAGCTCCTGCAATTATTGAGAGCAACCGCCCCCCTCCTGGATGGCCTTCATCTGGACTTATAAAATTTGAGGATGTTGTCTTGCGTTACAGACCTGAGCTCCCACCAGTTTTGCATGGACTGTCTTTCACAGTTTTCCCTAGTGACAAGGTCGGAATTGTAGGACGAACTGGCGCAGGAAAATCAAGCATGCTCAATGCGTTATTCCGTATTATTGAACTTGAAAGGGGGAAAATATTGATAGATGGTTTTGATGTTGCAAAGTTTGGGCTGTTGGATTTGAGGAAAGTTCTTGGGATTATACCACAGTCACCCGTTCTTTTCTCAGGTAAGCAATCCTCCCTAGCCGAGAATAAATTCTAGTTGATATCACTTACTACTTAGTTAATCAGGCATTCATACTGCATTTAACATTTTCTCTCTCTCCATTGTATTGTTATCGTGATGCATTAATAATTATGTGGTTTAAATCATTTTTAATTATAGTGTTAATGTTAGTTCTTTTGAGAGACCTAGGTGGTTAAACCTTTATAGCAGTTTCTATTTTGGAATATTTGTTTCGTTTCAGAGTTCAAATCTTTTCAAATAGTGTAAAAATTTCAGAATATTTATTAGTGTATATACTATTTATGAAATTATCTAACTGACCAAACGATGTTGATAATTCTCATGCAGTCATTTGATGCCTGCTGAAATGTAGTTTTTTCATTTTACTGTAGTGGCAGTACTAACTAAATACGGGAGTGAAAAGTACTGCTATATTGCTTCATGTTAAGGCAGAAAGATGCTTTACAAATACAAGTATAAGATTTTCTAATGAATTGAACTCAATTTAAGATTTCCGTTGAGCAAAATGCGTGTAGAAGATAAAAACCTGATTAAACTAATAGCAGTAGAAATATATTGAAAAAAAAAAATAAAAAACAAAAAAAAAACTCTCGATTCTCAAATAAGGACCAAAGCTATTACATGAACTTGTTCTTATCTAAATAGATAAGAATTGAGAACCCCTTTTGGGGGACTTATTTCTAGACCACCAAGCCAATAATATCTGAAGTCTCTCGACACTTTGGGAGAATTTTCAGGAGGTTAGAGGGCTCATTGGTAGAGGTATAGCCCAAGAACTATTATAATGGAATTGGCTTAGCCCAAATACACCTCTTATAGTGGCTGGTATTGGCTGACTTCCACTTTATATGAATTTTTTAGTGTTAATACTGATGAATGATGTTATTTACTCGAAATTTCCCACAAACTTAACTTTAGATTTACACTCCATGTGGCAATTTTTTTTTTTAAGATTTTGGCTATCGTTTTTTGATTTAGTAAAAATATCCAAAGTACTCTAGTGGGGTCATCAACATAGCATGAACCATGTTTACTGAAAAGGTTTTTCCATGAGTTTTTCTAAAAGGGAACTCTTGAAGTAATAGGCATCAATTAGTTATTTTCATTTTCATGCTCTTTCTCATTTGTATAGGAACGGTTAGGTTTAATCTAGATCCGTTCAACGAACACAATGATGCTGATCTTTGGGAAGCTCTAGAGAGGGCACATTTGAAGGAGGTCATAAGGAGGAACAGCTTTGGCCTGGATGCTGAGGTACGTCATGATGGAAATTTGTGTGAAATGTATGTATTTGGTGGAGTGAATTAAATGAATTGCTCTACATCTATTCACAATTTGATTGTCTCGGCCAGCAGTTTTCTATTAAAATATTTTGGTCAAGCTTTGTTTAGAAAAACTTTAGGTCGATATCAGAACTCATCAAATAATTGGTCTATTACATCAACATTTTGGTGGAAAACTTCAGATGGAAGAAAAGAAAGTGATGAACTCATAAAACTAACTGAACCGTTGGAACTAAACTACGACAACCAGACAACCAGAAAAGAATAGATTCGTTGACTAAAGTTGTAACTTATTTGGTTTCTAGGTTTCAGAGTCTGGAGAGAACTTTAGCGTTGGACAAAGGCAACTATTGAGTCTTGCCCGGGCACTTCTCCGGAGATCGAAGATACTAGTTCTTGATGAAGCAACAGCAGCAGTTGATGTTCGAACTGATGCTTTAATTCAGAAAACTATAAGGGAAGAGTTTAAATCCTGCACAATGCTCATTATTGCACATAGATTAAATACCATCATAGATTGTGATCGGATCCTTCTACTTGAAGCTGGTCGGGTATGTTTATGTGTTAAAAGTTTTAAATTGTCAAAATCACTCCCTTTTATTTTTTGCATTCTCGTTTTAATTTCAAGTTTATCCTCAGGTTTTGGAGTACAACACTCCAGAGGAACTTTTATCAAATGAAAAAAGCTCTTTCTCAAAGATGGTTCAGAGTACAGGAGCTGCCAATGCCCAATACTTACGTAGCTTAGTACTTGGAGGTGAAGGTGAGAAAAAGTTAGGAATAGAAGAGGAGAATCGGGCGGATGGACAGAGGAGATGGTTGGCTTCCTCGCGGTGGGCTGCGGCTGCCCAGTTTGCTTTGGCTGTTAGCCTTGCATCTTCACACAATGATCTTCAGAGTTTGGAGGTAGAAGATGAGAATAGTATCCTCAGGAAAACCAAGGATGCTGTAATAATGCTACGGGGAGTTCTGGGAGGAAAGCATGATAATGAAATTGAAGAGAACCTAAATCAATACCAAATCTCTTCAGATGGATGGTGGTCGTCTCTTTTCAGAATGGTTGAAGGTATTGTCGAATCTTTCCATATTTATTCCCATAAGAACATAACTTCAAGTATTTCTTGTCTTAAGCATATGATATATACTATGGATTCCAAAGGTCAATTTGGTAACATTCTTGTTTCTAATTTCTGGTTTCCTCTTTTAATAAATAGAAATATAATGAAACATAAATAGAACTGCATTTTGTGGTATGTTTGATAACTATTTTGCTACTTGTCTCTAGCATTTTAAATTAAAAAAAAGTAAAATTTTAAAATTAAATATTCTTTTTTCTATCTTATATTTTTTAAAATATTTATTGCATTTTATAATATAATTCAAGAATGATAAAATAATGCTTTTACTCGTGTTTTTTAAAAATTTTGAAAATGGAAACTAGAGACAAGAAACTTGATTTTGTTCTCAAAATTTCTACACAATATTGAAAATTTTTCTAAAAAACAAAAAACATGATTACTAAACACTTATATTTCCAAGAAACGAGAAACAAGAGTGTAAAAACGGTCCTCAAATGTTCAACTTTACTTCAAAATCCTTCACTGTAGTAACCAGCATAGCAGTGTAGGTTGGGAGTTGAGATTTAGAATAATGATAATTCATCACGGAGTGGATATCCTTTTATGGAAATCTGAGATATTTGCAGTAACAGAATTTCATGAACCTATCTGTTTACTCTACCTTTTCCCTTTGCTAACTGCCTAAGCGGTTTAAAATACTGTGGTTTTCCCTCTTCAGGACTTGCTCTGCTGAGCAGATTGGGTCGAAACAGGCTTCAAAATTCGGATTTCAGTTTCGAAGACACAACGATCGATTGGGATCAAAGCACGATATAGTTATTGAGTGAGTTTCTGTTAGGTTAGTTTGAGACTTTCATTATTCCAATTGTTTGGTTAATGTCGTAACTTGCAATTACGTTATTGGGGAATGTAATGTAATGGCTCTCTAAATTTTGCACCAATACGTTATTGTGAAAGATTTTTAGACAGCGTCTTGTAATGGTAATGACAGAATTGTATGAGATCCCGAGGTCATTTTTTTTATTTTTGTTATATGATATACACATAAGATATACCTAGGCTCCACGAGTGAGAGAAACGTGTTTTTACTCCCTAAAATAAAGGCCATCGAGTTTTAGTGAATTTGTATTTCTTGCTCCTGCGAATCAAATTGGCATACGCACAGCTGAGGGTTGAACGGCAAACATCGCAGCAGCGGTGTGCAGTGAGGAGAGAGGCAGCCGAGCTTCATCGGAGAAAGGAGGGAGGAAGACGAGCCATCCCTAAATAGACGACTTATTTAGGTTAAAAATATTTCTATAATTGTAGTTCTGGTTCATTTTGGTATTTAAACTTTCAAAATGTTTATTTTGATTCATATTCTTTCAACTTTTGTTTATTTTAGTTCTTGTACTTTTAAAATGTTAGTTGTAATACAACGACTCTTCATTTTATTTTCATCTCATTTTTTCGATCATAATTTTAATATGATATTATACTCAATATATTTATTGAAATATAGTCATTATTTTATATTAAAGGATTTTCAATGTGTATAAAGTTTGTGTTCAAATTTTACAAATTGGGATCAAAATAGTCACTTTTTAAAAGTATATGGATATATGAATAAAAAAAAATATATTTCAAAATAAAATAATTAAAATTTACAAAAACTGAAAGCATTTGAATTAAAATAGTGTTTTAACGTCCAATTTAGATTTGAGAAAGAAGTGTAGTTTGCTATTTAATACTTCAAAGAGATCTTAGACATTATTATTATTATTTCATTTTGACCGTAAATATGCTAAAGAAAGACTGCTTTGTGCTTTTTTGGAAGTCAAAAAATAATTAAATAATAATAATAATAAATAAAACCACTGCTGTTTGTAGCTGCAGTTTTGTTGTCCTTTCATCATATTCCCTTTCTTGTTCTCAAAACGACCTTATTTGGGACTCCAAATCAAATTAAATTAAAATTTCCATCCATATCACTGCCAACGTAGATTCACGGTCAATGATATCTTGAAACGTCGATATAGTACAGTAGCTATGTTTAGATCGAAGATAACAAATAAATCAAATGTGCATTTATTTGTATTTCTACGAATTTGAATAGTGTTTCTCAACCTCTAGGAAGAGTGCTGATCCCCTCCTCATAACGACCACAATTCTTTAATGCAAAACTTAGCTATTAAATAAGGCTCATATAAAACATCATAAAATGATACTTTTATTTATTCTGTTATTTGTAAAAAAATTAATAGCTCTGTTTTGCATATAATTCTTTTACCTAATATACAACGATTTATTGAAAAGAAATACCCCAATACATTATTTATATAAAATGGTATTAAGCACGGTTTACTGAATAAATAATTTATTATCATCTTAGATGTCTTTTTAGTTCAACAAAATGTGGATGTGAAGATTATTTTTAGTGGAAACTGTAAACTTGATGAGTCGAGTTATGCTATGTTGACTTTAATTATGTATCGAGTCCCAATGCAGAAGGTCCTCTTATTTTGGAGTATATCTGTGTGGATTCGTTAGAGCTCTGATTCTCTCACTCTCTCTCGCACTTTGTTGAGTCACGAGTGTTGACCACATTGCTCGCTCGGGCTATGTGATATGCATAGTTATAATCATTCTGTTGGATGTTTTCGTATTACATCCATTTCTTTAATTTTATGGTGGGTGGTTTCTTCGTAAGCAATGACGTTTGCAATTCTGTTTGATTCAAGTGTAACTGCGGTTTTATTGGGTGTCCTTTTCCTCATTTGGCTCTTTCTCTTGTTCTCAGTGTTATTAGGTTCCGTCAGCTCTCGAAGGAGAATTTACAAGCCTATATATGGATACATACCTGAATTTGAGGCTGCTCTCGCAGTCTTTAGCTAAAATTGTGAATCCAGCTTGAAGGTATTGCTTCAATTAGAAATTTCTTGTGATTCTATTGCTGTTCTTGCTTGGAAGTTGCATCATTTATTGATGTTGCTACATTGAAGTTGGCATTTGACTTTAGTGCGTGAAACATGGAGATGGGTCTTGACTTGTTTGTACTGTTTAATCCTCGGTTTTGGAATGACTAAACTAAGAATTTCACATAATGGGCATTCTTAAGTGTCTTCCAAGCATCCAAATAATGTGAAAATTTGAACCATTTGGGGATATCGTAATGGATATTGAACAACCACGAGTTTCTTTCTTTGCACCTCATCCGTATCGGTCCATTCTTTGTGGTATTGGGTTGCTTTGTTTGGAACTGTGATGGGCATTTCCACTTGATGCAGTGGATTTATGATGTTTCTTTAATCGAAAATTCACTTCATGTTCTTTCCAGTTTCTGGTTTGGAATTTTGAATATGGTTTTTCATATTGCAGGTAGCACATTGGGTGGACAGTTGATGGTAAAATAATTTATCGAGATTTGAGCACAAACTCCCCGAGTCTGTAATAATTTGAACAAGAAGGAAACGGGCCTATAATTTTCTGCTGTAGTGAACATTAGCGTAGGAGAAAATATGCCTTCCGAGCCATTGGATTGGTTCTGCCAGCCGGTAGCAAATAGTGAATGGGCAAAAGTAGTTGATAGTGCCTTCGGTTCATACACACCTTGTGCAATTGACTCCCTAGTTGTCTCTACTTGTCATTTGGTTCTTCTTGGTCTTTGCTTATACAGAACGTGGCTGGTTAAGAAGGATCCCAAAGTGCAGAGGTTTCGTTTGACCTCTAATTATTATAATTACATGCTAGCTATGATTGCTGGTTGTTGTTCTGTTGTACCTTTACTAAGGTTAGCCATGGGTATGGCGATTTTTAGCCTGAATGATCAGATTGGCTTTGCTCCTTTTGAGGTACGCCTACTTTTCATATCCTTTTCAAGGTTTACTTCTTCTTCTATGTTTAAACGATACATCATTAATCTCCTCCGTTAAAAAAAAAAACACAATAAATAACTATGGATTTCAAGATCTAAAATTTTGAACCTAAAGAGAATCTTAATAGTTAATAGTTCTTGCATTAAATCCTAAATGCAGTATGATTTGCACTTGTACATTCAATTTAGCAGTAGCATTGTTTGATTTGGATTGTGGATTAACTTTTCTTCCGGCTACAGGTGATTTGCTCAATAGCGGAGTCTCTTTCTTGGTGCTCCGTGTTAGTTATGGTTGTTTTGGAGACTAAAATTTACATCCGTGAATTCCGTTGGTACATACGATTTGGACTAATCTATATTCTGGTAGGGGATGTTGTGCTATTAAATCTTGTACTCCCACTTTCAGTCTACTATAGCAGGTTATTTTTCTACATTTTGTTTATTTATTATTATTATTATTATTTTGTTGAAGTTATGTGATGACATGCTAGGCGCCAACATTATATATATGTATTTTCGTTAGCGATAATCCTTTTTATAAGATCTCTTTTACGTGTCTATTTTGTTTCCGCTAACATGATAATTTACTTGAAACAATTATTTTTCCAGCTGAACCTAAAAGATATGCGGAAATTATGCAGTTGATATTTTTGTTTTTATTTTTGCAGAAGTTGTCCTAACCATGGTTGCAAATTTTCATTGTGTGCCATTTTTCATGATGAAAAAACAATGACTTTAAAGTGCATTTTTTCTCATTTGGTAGTATAATTTATTTATTTATTTATTTTTTGTTAAAAAAAAAATCTTTCCCCATGCAGTGCGGTTCTCTGTATGATCATCACCACAGTTTCTTTCCAGGTTAGTTGGTTTCTTCTAAGAAAAGATATGCTTTCTTTATAAGCTCTCTTAAGGTATGCATCTGTAAATTCCTTGTCTACTATCTTTATGTTTTTCTTCCCGCATCTTAAGTTTATAGAACTGTCCAAAAAACTATAACAATCCTTTAGTGTTAGCTTTGAGACTAATTTAAGCGGTTGGGATTTGTTAGTAGAAATGCTTGATTTTTATTCTCTAGAAAGGGCAGCATTGTGGCAGGTACGGACTTCGGATTCTCTTTGGTAGTAGTCCCAGTGAAGATAAGTATACTGATAATTTGAACATTTGGAATTTAGACAGTTGAACATTTCACTATGTTTATCAATTAATTCTAACATGGTTCTCTGTTACCTGGTGGTTACTTTTTCTTTTCTCTTTACTTCCGATGAGAAGTTTGTATCCTTGAACATTTTTCTTTCTAATCATATATTTAATGAAAAGTTTTTTATTTAAAAAAAAAAAGAGAAAAAGAAGCTAATTCCTTCCTTGCAATTTCGCAAATGAGGTCTCACTCTGTGTTTCTATTCCATTCATGTAAATAGCTATTTTTGCGATGCAGGTGTTATTTGCAGTACTTCTTCTTGCTTATGTCCCTAATTTGGAACCTTATCCCGGTTATGTTGTCATGCAATCTGAATCTCTCGACAACATGGACTATGAAATGCTTCTGGGAGCAGAACATGTTTGTCCCGAAAGGCATGCCAATATATTTTCTAGTAAGTAATTTCTAAACTAAAATTCAAAATTCTGTATCACTTGCCTTAATTAGTGCTTTATTTTTCTGAACAAGATACAAACTTTTCATTGATATATGAAAAGAAACAAAATTTTTCAAAGATACAAACTCCCGAAGGAGCGATAGAGAAAAACAAGAAATAGAAAATAAAATATAGGACAAGACTACAAAGGAGAAATTTTTTTTTTTTTGGGATGAGAAACTGCACTTTCATTGAGAGAAATGAAAAAGAAGATACACAAAAGGGGCATACAAAAAATAGCCTAGCAAGGGAACCCTTATAAGAACGGGCTCCAATTCCACATATAATTACAAAAGGTCTTAGTGGCCGAACCCCATAAAGAAGTATTAAACCTAATGAGGTCCCAAACATAATCCACAGAATTCTCCAAACCCCTAAACAGCCTATTGTTCCTCTCCAGCCAGATACTCCATAAAGAAGCCATAAAGCACGCTTGCCAAAGAAAATGACCTCTGTCACGAAAAGAGGGGGAATAACAACACTTCCTCCATCATCGCCCTACAATTTCTGGAGTGAACCCAAGCAATACCAAAACCTTTAGAAAAACGACGCCATAACTCCTGCGCAAACTAACAGGACCACAACAAATGCTCAAGATCTTCTGAGGCATTCCTATACAGAACACACCACACCATTGCGGGCCCAGATAAAAGGAAGGCATACTTTGAATTTGATCCATGGTATTGACTTTACCAAGTAAGACTTGCCACCCAAAGAACTTCATCTTCTTTGGAATTTTAATCTTCCAAAGAGAGGTAAACCAAGGGGTCACCGGGGACGGAGAAGGGGAAGAAGAAGGAGGAGACAAAGAAGAAGAAGACGGGAAATTCAGGAGATGGAAAAAAGAGCTACAAGAAAAACCTTTCGAGGGTTTGGGAATCCACACCCACACATCTTCCCTCCCAAAGGATAAGGAAACACTAGACAACAGATCAAGTAACGCGGTAACCTCGAACGATTCCCGATCAGTTAAAGAACGAGAGAGCCCCAGGGAAATGGACGAGTGCTCTTCCCCATAATTCAAAACCTCGGCCACATGAAGGAGTTTCTTTTTAGACAAAAAATAAATCCGAGGAAACGCAAGACTCAAGACTACAAAGGAGAAATAAAGGCCTCAAAATTCATACAAATCATACTAGGGGAATACGAAGAGAAAATATCAGAAAGAGTACACCATTTAGAAGCTTTGAATTTGGCAATGTTGAAGCATTCCAATGACGGACGACAAGAATCTTAAAAAATCCTTTGATTCCTCTCGGACCATAATTCTGAAATGATAGCCTTAAACCCATTAATCCAAAGTAGATTAGCTTTAGGCGCCAACCCATCTTCATGTAGAATCTGAAAAATATTATTAGCAACCTCACAGTCCCACACCCTAATTAGTGCTTTATGAGGTGTGAAAATTAAACTATATATGTTGGATCAAGAACAGAAAACATGTTTTTTCATGATATCATGTTTTTGAGGGCTAACTTTTCTACATGAACAAATGGAACTCTAGAAACTAGTTCTTTCCTTTGCTTTCTTAGTGCCAGTGGGTTTTTGAAATTCGTGATAGTTATTTACTTGGATAACTATCTTTGGTACAATCTGTTAGGAATAAATTTTGGGTGGGTGACTCCACTGATGAAGCAGGGCTATAGAAAGCCTATAGCTGAAAAGGATATTTGGAGGTTGGACGTCTGGGATCAAACTGAGACACTAATTAAAAGGTTTCTCTATTGTTATTATTTCTCCTTGCTCTTTTTCTTTCTCCATATCTAATAATTCAGTTGCTTCTGCAGGTTCCAGACATGTTGGGCTGCAGAAATTAGAACGCCTAAGCCCTGGCTTTTAAGAGCATTGAATCAAAGCCTTGGAAGAAGGTGCAGTGGAAAACCTATTTTATTTATTCTTCCATTTACATATTTTGTCTAATCTTAAGTTCTTTAAGTTCTTTAGCAGTAACTAAGATTTATGTTGCTTTTTGTCATTGTTTCTTATCTCATTCCATTTGCTAATTTTTTACTAGGTTCTGGTGGGGAGGTGTTTTCAAGGTAACCTAAATATTTTCCCTTCCCTTGTCTTATGTTTTTTTTTCCTGCAAACATTGTTATGTTGTATTTTATGAACTTGGTAAAATATTGTGTCATTGCATATAATTTATTATTTGGTTCATATTTCAAGAGAAGATATAATGTGAACTTTTTGGCTTCTGTTGTAACTTGTATAACGAGTTCAATTGTTATAATCTACAAGCTCCTATGTAATCAGGACTAGAAGAAGAACATGAGATATGACCAAGTTGCATGTCAAAAACGTATCTAGGAGAAAATGAAAAAGGTGTTAGATATTAACTTTTTTTGTTCTGAGGGTTATATAGTCCAAATGAAAAAGGTCTTAGATATTAATTTTTTTTGAGTTGGTCTTAAAGTTAGTGTTAAGGGTTTTGGTTTGCTTTTGTAGATCAGAGGTTTTCCGGTAGGGGCATTAGGTGTTATGGCTTTGTTTGTTTTTAGTTTGAGATATTTGTTTACTTTGATGAGATATGTTGTTACTATTCGTGTAATTTATGAAAATTCGCATCTTGTTGAAAAAAAATTATTTGTGTAATTTTCATTCCTTAAATGAAAAATTCTATTTCCTTTAGAAAATAATGATAAATAAAAGAACATACTAGACCATGAGCCAAGAAGACCATAAAAAGCCGAAATTGTGAAGAACATATGACTCCTGGCTAGTTATTGGTTCTTTTGTCTCTTTTCTATGTTTTCTTTTTCTTTTTCCTTACACTTCTTTTGAAGTTTGTATCTTTGAACAATTTTGTTCTTTTTCATCTATCAATGAAAAGTTAGTATTTTGTTAAAAAAGAAAAAACATGACTTCCAATCTTGTGAAATCAAAACGTAGACCAACAGAGAGTAGAAGAGTCCTTGAGGGGACTGAATGGAGGATGAGAAATTTGTGTGGCTGAAAGTGTATTTTTTCTCTACTTAATTGACTTCTCTGACATTTTCTTCCAGAATGTTGCAATTTTTTCTTTTTCCTCAAGATGCGACTGTAAGTTGTTTAGCTACACATCCTAGTTATAGTTCTCAAGTCATTTTCTTGAAGAGAGCGATAATTTATCTAGCTCAATCCAGTGAATTTCTTTGGAGTAAGTCAGTGACTTGATCAAGACTAAATAAATTACCATCTTCCTGTATTTCCATGTGTTCCTTTTTTTTCTTAATTTTAAATCAGGGTGGATAAATCTTCATGGAAATATAGCTTTTAGGTTTCAGTTTGGATTAATATTGAATTTTTCCTTGTAATGCCAATACGATTCATCGATCCTTGATAGTAGACTACTACTTGTGGGGAAAGAATACTTTTCATGTCTGACCACGATGATCTGGCAGGTTGGCAATGACCTCTCTCAGTTTGTTGGGCCGATAATATTAAACCATCTATTACAGGTTAGATTTTTATTTATTTTTTCTCCTTCTTCTGATCACGTTCTGCATGACAAATTGTGCATTGACTACGTGCCTCCCAGAGGAGTGTTTTGTTTGTGTATTTGTGAAGAAAAATGAAAAGACACTTCATTTGTAGTGAATTCAAACTGGTATGCATTTATTTATGCATGAATACAAATGACATGAATTCAAAACAGAAGTAGTTTGTCTTCCTCCTCGTCCTCATCTTCTTCTTCTCTTATTTATTTATTTTTAAAAAAATCATTAAATTCAATACCTTTCTTTTGTTTAAAGCCTTTGACTACAAACCTTATTTTGTATCTTTTGCTGTCATCAGGCTCCTGTTTGATTCTATACACCCATTTATTCTGCAAAGATTTCTTACCTCTTGGTAACTCAGTAAGTTGCCATGTCTGATTCGTCATAAGAGAATTCATCTCATCTTTCATGGCTAACTCCCACTTGACAGAATCTTCCAACTAAATTGCTTCTTCATAACATTCAGGTTCACCTCTGTCTGTCGGTAATATATAATTCAAAGTAGGGGAATACCTTTGTGGTGGTTTGATAGTTCTGTTAGATCTTATAACTGCTATAGGTGGAGTTCTATGGACTTCTTCTGTTTCTACAACTGGTTCATCAGGTTCAACAACCTATTCCTCAGATTCCACAACTGGTTCCTCAGGAGTAGTTGTACTCAGATGTTCAATTATTGTTGTCTTGGTCTCAACTCTTGGAAAACTTACATACTGAGTCTTCTCTTCTGTACTTCCATTTGACTATGACTTTCCAGATTCATCATTTGCTATGTCCTTGTACATAATATCCTCATTGAAGATTACATTTTTGCTTCGGATAATTTTCACCAATCTCAGCATTGCCATAACTAAGAAAATAACACTTCTTGGATTTAGCATCCAGTTTACTCACGTATGCCATCAATGTGAAGTTAAGATACACAGCAAAAAACCTTTAAATGAGAAAGGTTTACCTGTTTACCGCTTCAGACTTCTTCAGGCAATTTGAAGTTTAGTGATGCGATTGAGCTCTTATTGATCAGATAGGCCGCAGTGTTGATTGCCTCTGCCCAAAACATCTTAGGCAATCCTGCATGTAATCTCATGCTCCTGGCACGCTCATTTAGCGTCCTATTTATTCTCTCAACCACACTGTTCTGCTGTGGTGTCCTTGGAATAGTCTTTACCATTACAATTCCACTTTCTGCACAATACTTTTTAAATTCCCCATCAACATATTCACCACCATTCTATGCTCTCTTTGTTTTTTCTTTTTCTTTTTTCGCTTTCTTTGGGAGCTTGTATCCTTGAACTTTTTTCTTCCTTTTCATATATCAATGAAAAGTTTGTTTCTTGTTAAAAAAAAAACATATTCACCACCACTGTCCGACCTTAGCTTTTAATTTTCAGATCTGTTTTAATTTTCATAGGGTTTGAAAATACATCAGACTTATGTTTGTGAAAATAAGTTCATACCTTCCTGCTTGAGTCGTCTATGAAAGTGCTTCCCAAATACACAATCTTCACACAGTTTGTGGTCAACTGTCTCGAGTCCCTGTAACTTCCTTGTAGAGTGAAGAATTTTCATACCTTTTTCACTCATATATCCCATTTTGTTGTGCTATAATTGGGTTCGACTCGAATGATCTAAAAATTCTCTCTCTCATGGAATTGGGGCGGCTGAAGCTTATCTTTTTCACATAAAAAAATATAATTATACTTAATGAAGAAGTAAATTGGTGGTTTTTTGGGCTTTGGCATCATTAGGCCCAATAACTCTTTTTTCTTTTGGCTCCATTCTCAACACGAAGGAACTTAAAGGAAGCTGAAATCGATGAATGAGCGGCACTCTTTCACAAACTCTCTACTAAAAAAAAAGATCTATTATTGGCAAAGAAGATCAAAGTTAAACACTCAGGTGATGAAGGCCGATAGAAATAAAAATCCTTCTAAAGAGAACCCACTCTAATACCACGTTTGAGTGAATAATCTGCTTTGAGTTTCATATTTAAAATAAGGAATATAATATAAACTATATTTCTATCTATTAGAACAAATGTTCATGGCCTGTGTTTGGATCATGGAAGTTTATATATTTCTTATACTGCAGTCGATGCAGCGGGGAGATCCAACTTGGATTGGCTTCATCTATGCATTTTCAATTTTTGTAGGCGTGGTATGACTTCTAATATGCACTTTTTATAACCACAATATGTTTATTTCCTTCATTTTTTAATATCTTAAGCTAAATATGACTTCTGCCCACACAGGAGCTTACTGTTATGTTACCATTGGTCATTGGTGAACTCTTGTTTTCCAAGGCACACCTTACCATAAGAGATGATAGCTCTTACGTTAATATTTTAGATTTTGCCTCCCAACATATTCTTTAGAAGTTGTTTCAACCTAGAACTGCAAATGACTTTAATATTATTTATTCAGTCAATTGGAGTGCTATGTGAAGCTCAGTACTTTCAGAATGTTATGCGAGTTGGTTTTCGACTGAGGTCTACTCTGGTAAACAATCTTTGTATATTGGAAACATTCTTTATTTAAACTCATTTAGTCAATCAGACTCAATTGATGTTTGGATTTTCATCTCAATGTCATTAATGGGAGGCTCTGGGTCTATCTTAAAAACAGATGTGAACTTTTTCTTCTTTGTTATCATATCTTATATGTTTTCTTAATGGTAGGTGGCTGCTATTTTTCACAAATCTCTGAGGTTGACTCATGAGGGACGCAAGAAGTTCCCTTATGGGAAAATTACAAATATGATATCAACAGATGCCAACGCCCTTCAAGTAGGCATTGTCACCCCTAGCATTCTGTATCTATCTATGCTAAAAATAAGCTCAACCAATTTTATATCCTATATGTTTCCTTAAGATCTATTAGTTAGCTCACAGTTTTTATCACTGTACATCTTGAAAAAATATTAGGTGATTCTTCAAACTTGAGTAGGACTAACTACAACTAATTTCCTGTAACTTTTTCAGCAAATATGTCAACAGCTTCATGGGTTATGGTCTTCCCCCTTTCGTATAACCATGTCAATGATTCTTCTATACCAGCAATTGGGTGTTGCTTCACTTTTTGGAGCCTTAATACTAGTCTTGACAGTGCCTTTGCAGGTAATGAAGTTTGTTGTGCACTTGAAAATAAGACATCTGATGATGTTTTTCCTCATAGGGTTTGAAAATGCCTAATGTTTTTTTTTTTTTTTTTACAAGAAACAACTTTTCATTGATAAATGAAAATGAGAAATGTTCAAAAATACAAACTCCGAAAGGAATGAAAAAGGAAAAACATAAAAATGCAAATAAAATAGCAATAACAACAACAACAACACATTACAAAGGGGGAGTTATAAAGGCTTCCCAATTCATGCAAAATACTCGAAGAATAATTAGAGAATAAATCAGAAAGAGCAACCATTGCAAGGCTTTATACTTGGCTGTTGAGAAACAATCCTTGTAGGATCTAAGCTTGCCTTCAAAAACCCTTTGATTCCTTTCATACCATAACTCGGAGATGATGACTTTAAATCCAAAGAAGATTAGCTTTATTATGGAATCGAACACCACAATAGAGCTGTAAAATATTATTGGAGACCTCCAAATTCCAAACCCAAGAGACGTTGAAGAAAGAGAAGAAACAAGCCCAACATTCAGCCGCATAAGGACATGAAAAGAAACTATGCTGCTGGGTTTCACAACTAGCAACACATAAACAGCAAACCGAAGGCTGTAACAATATAAAGGGCATCTTTTTTTGGAGAATCTCTGAAGAATTGACTTTGCCCATAAGGAGAATCCATGGCAAAAGATTGACCATTTTTGGACTGCTCGAATTCCAAAGGAGAGACACATCTTTAGGAAAAGGAGCAGCCATAGCCCCAATCTTCCCTAAAGAGCTGACAGTAAAAGTCCCCGAGTTCTCTAAGCTCCAAACCCGAATATCCTCTGTATCATGAAGCGAAATCGAAGAATGTAGTGACAAGAGATTTGCTAACTCCTCAATGCCCTCCTCTTTCAGTGAACGCCTAGTAAGAACTCGCCACCTTGCCGCACTCCTATCCCACTCATCTTCTACCAAAATAGAAGGGGAAAGATACACCCTCATGGTTTATATTCCCCTAAAGTCCCAAAAGGGCTTATTTAAGCATGATATTAGAAATTGATAAACCATTGCAATCCCAATTACTGAAAAACTGTATGCATGGATAATGCAGGTTGATCTTTCTCAGGATAGATAATCAAGTGGAGGGCAATATGGAATTTTGACAGTCAATTCTCTGGAAGTGTATCTCTTTATAAAAATTGCGTGAAATACACCTTTTTAGAACATTAGTGCTATGCCTACAATCAATTTTGTTGAGGATTCCTTCTTGCCTCTTGGTTATCCTACTTGCTTATTATGGTGCTATTTATCTTGTTATTGAATTTTCCTTTATACCTTATCTTATCCATGTGGAATGTGTCGCGTGCATGCAGACAGTAATAATTAGTAAAATGCGGAAACAAACTCGAGAGGGACTACAGGGGTCAGATAAAAGAGTCGGCCTCACAAATGAAATTTTAGCAGCCATGGACACTGTGAAGTATGGTTAAATTGGTATGATATAGTTTACAAGTTTAATATACCTCTGCTTTTCTTGACACCATGCTGAAAAATGTTTCAGATGTTATGCATGGGAAGCAAGCTTTTCATCTAGAGTCCAAGAAATAAGGGATGATGAGCTCTCATGGCTTCGGAAGGCACAATTACTTTATGCGGTATTGTCATCAGATATGCTTTCTTATTGTTTGCTTAGCATGAACAGCATGATGAATTGCGGTGAAAAAAAGGTTACACTGGTATATCAGAACCTCAGAAATTCTGCAAGTTACATCCGCCTTATTGCCAAACTGATAAGGGTTATGGAAAAATTAATTATTTATTAATATTTTAACGCTACCCCTCATTTGTGAACTTGAATGGTTATGATATTAATTAGGAAAAAAAATGATATTACAAGAATTCAAACATAAGACCTCCTACTTTGATACCACGTTAAATCACACTCTCTCGGAGTTCAGTACACCTCTACTTTTCTTGTTCTCATTTTGTTTCTTTTTCCTTTTTTCCTTTTCCATCTCACTCAATCGAAAGTTTGTTTTTGGAACATTTCCTTTTCATATTGTTAATTGGAGAGAGTAAAAAATATACTCCTTGATTCAAACATGTAACTTAGGTCTTCTTATATAGGAGAATGACCTACTACAAACAAGGAAAG